AAAATAACATAACATACCCTGGGCACTAGGCTCTTTATGTTTCCTTTCTCTTTAACAAGTAGGTTACGCATTGCCAGCTCAAAGTATCGACGTCCCAGTACTGGGAACAGGTCTTTTCACTGGGGAGAGTATTAAAGTACCCATACAAAGGTATAAAATAATGTGAAATATGATAATAAGCTACGGGCAGTAAAGTGAAAATCCAAATGGACTATGTTTTCATACATTATTCTATACGATATATAATTTAACGGTAGCAAATAAAATATTTACTTATCATACTTTTAACGTTCGTAAATTTATATTTTTCATTATTCTATGTTAATTTTTTATATAATAATAAGAAAAAATATATATTGAAGATTCGTTTAAATGGTCCATTAAGGACTTTGAGAGTGAAATTTAAGTACTTTTACTAGTTAAGTTAGTAGATTAATTCCCCCTCATCGATGTTTCTCATTTAATAATCTGCTTTTACTTTCACTGATTTTTCCTGCTGTTTCCGAAGAAAATAATTACCTTATTTAGAAGTAACCAATGATTAAAAAATATTAACAAAACAGCTTGTCTAGATTATCAATAGCTAATTATAAAAGAGTCCCCGTATTTTCGGGAAACAACTATCGCATGGTCAACACATTAATTTAGTTAAAAGGCACAAAAGAGATTCGCACCCTTTATAACGGAATAACATAACATAAAACGCTAAAATAATCTATACTAATATTATAAAGAGGTAAGAAGGGCCGATTTCAAAAATGCTTTCACCATCAAAAAGTTACGTTTTCAGTGAGGAAATATGTAGGTTGATTTTTATTATTTCACGCGGACAAAGTCGCGAGCAACAGCTAGTGTAAATATGTAGTTACTTTGGATGTTATTTTTATTCTTAAAATAAGTAAATTCGTGATATTAAAGTCGTTTAATATTTAAATTTTATAGAATCGCAGTCTGTGGAATTGTTTACACAGCTTGGCGTAACTTCAATATAAAAGAGAAATGGAGATAAAAAAGTTGGTAAATAAAGTCTGGGAAGTCAGAAATAGTTCGTTTTTTATTACAGTAGGCCCGTCACAACAAAAGGGGTCTGAAGATCGTTCGAGGTGTGAGCAAACAGAAGTGATATTCAATTGTTCTTTTTCAAGAGTCCCCCCTCGCTTATGACGTGAGATCTACAACGGTTTTATTGGAGCCATTTTGCTCTTGTTAACATCATACCGGCAGAATGCAACGAGGATTTCAACGGACGACGGCGTGACCATTGTCATGTAAATTTGATTTCGAAAGAAATGCAAACTTCGCAGGAACGGATGAATATTTCAAATTACCCGACGCTTTCATTGCGGGAAATATTGTTCAATTTGTGCGTCTGCTCTTTCTTTGTTGACTTTGTGGATGAATCGATGTTTTATCGTTTATTGCCTTAATACCATTAAAACAATTCGAGTATTATTTACTTATAAAATTCTAATACGTATTTAAGTAATATAGTCTATTAAATTTACTAATATACAAAATGCAAAAGTTTGTGGATGGATGTTTGTAGCCTAAACTGCTGATTTCGATGAAAAATAGCGTAGATGTAGAGCAAAGTCTGGAAGATCAATTTGGTAACTTACTTTTGTTTTTATAATTCCTCGCGGACGAAAGCTAGTCGTATCATATTGCATTTGTTTTATTTTGTACAAATTCTTTAGCATGATGTTAGTACTTGGAATTGGTAATGAGTGTACGCTAAGTAAAAGTTGCAGGTAAAGAGAGTGTGTTCTGTATTTCATGAAAGTTGTATGGTAAAACCTCTGAAATATGCATCGCGAGGATTAGCATGAACTAAATTCGGGGCCATGTAAATACAGGAGTTCGTAGCGCGATGCTACGTGGTGCTACGCGGCGATACACGGCGCGGGCAGATGTCATACCGTGTTTCTACGTGTAACTAGGGATGTGCCGTCACTAATATTACTGATTGTGATTACTAATTTTTGAGTTTGATTTATTAGTACAACCTGTCCTTGGATATTTAAATTGTCTAGTGATAATCACTGTAAGTTTGTTAATTTAAAAATGTTGTCGTTTTAAGTTATATTTTTAAAACCGGGAAAAATAGTGTATGGCTAAAGCTTATGCCTTTAAAGAAAAACAAAATGTACCCAAAGAAATCTTTAAGTGTATACATATTGTTTTTGATCTTTTTGAATTGGTAATTAATGCAACTGTGCAAGATTAATCTATGTTAAAGTTAAATCATAAAAAAAAATTGTATCGATATAATGTCCAATAACTACTCATCACTACGGATTTATAAAATGGCGACTGTAGGCCGGCGGGCGCGTGGGGTGTTTTTAAGTCTTGCCTCCATCCAAACACAAGCCAAAAATCTTTATAAATGCAAAGGGGACGGCACTATTGAGCCACGTAGTAGGAGGGAAAGGGATAAAACAGGTGCATCCGTGTTAGCTTTGCGGTCTTAGTAGATACAGCACGTTCTTGCCGCTTCAGACGCTGCGGTTAGGGGTACCTAAACTTTTCTACGAATTGGAGTGGAGTTGGGAAAAACAAATAAGTAAGTATCTCATTTGAATGTATAACTTGGGGCCTTTTTAAAACGAAATAGGTGTTTCCATGCAGATGTATTCGTGTACCGTGTTAAATTTTAAATGTAAAGATGTAATGAAAATGTTTAAAAACAGCTAAATGACTGTAAATGTTTCAGCAAAATGAAGAATCTTGAATTAAATTTGGGATGCGCATTATATTTTAACATTTTCATGTAATTAAAAGTGAACAAATATTTCTTTAAACATTGTATAGAGTTTGTTTATAATCTGTTGATAATTAAATAAACAGGATAAAGGAAATCTTACCTGCTGCCGACCAATAAATAGTTCCCATCTCTTAATAATAATCTAAAGTAGTCTGTGTGAGTCTCATTTCCGAGGAACTTGTGTGTGTCATCGACCCCTGAAACAACAAAACGAAATGTTATTAAAAATAATTACAATGTTACAAACTCGCAAAAACATTCAACATATAACAATATACACCAAGGAATAATGTAACTAAAAATTGTAATCATCACATTTAACAAAAATATTGCAGTTTTCATTACACACCTGAAATAAAACTATGGCAGAACTATTTAGTCTCGCTTTGATTTCTATGAGATTATATGAAAGTGCATACACTACTCGATTTTTAGTGCAACTAAACAGTTGAATGGGCTGCGAAACAATCGACAATCGCACAACACTTGTGCGATCGTTTAGTCTGTGTGCGCTCGCTATTAATATGGTAACAATTATACATTCAGAACAATTATTTTATTATCAGCTAACGTGGTTAGCACGAACCAGTATTACGGTAATAATAAAAATGTCGCAATAATGCCATTCGCTTTAGAAGTATTATTTTAGACTATAAATAAAATAGCGTTTTTAACTTAAAATTCAACTTGACGTAAATTCAAATTAGCACTTTAAATTAAGTAGTTTGAATATTCCAATAACTTCTTTTTATTTTGATAAAATCAAAAATTTGCCTACCCTTTTTCGTGACAACTAGGTTATACGAGTATAAGTTGAAAGTGAAAACAATTGTTTTAGTATGGTAAAGAAAGCAATAAGTAAAAAAATATCTATTCTCTCAAAGCATTTCACAATCAATTCGAAGAAATTGAATGTTTGTGTATGCGAGATCCAATGGCGGGAACATTCTCGCTGTATCAATTATGTTAAAAGCCGCGAGAGAAGTTTCAATTTGATCTTATTAGTATTTTGTTACGATATCCGACGGTCTGAGGAATTTGCCTTTCCATTACCCAGTCGGTGGCAATTTACTAAGCTCACTCGCTCGAGAACGTGGAACGTGATGCCTTAACGCATGTTGGAGAATTCCTTTATACTTCGCACTTTACACGTAAGAAATAAGATGGAAGAAATATATTTATACAGCAAAAATATAAATTTAACAAAAAGACAGTATTCAAGCTGAGAAATCTTAGGCTTTGTTCTCTTTTGCAGCCAAAATAGAGCCTTCAAGAGGTACAAAAACTACATGAGGTTTGCAATCTTAGAGGACCTATCTATGCTACGCTTATATCATTATTCATATGACAAAAATAACAAAGATGTCTTAAAAAAGTGTTATAAACAGTTAAACTATTGCTAATTAAATATTTAACAATTTAGGTTTAATAGCTACAAAGTTCTAATAGGTTACCGTTCCATATGAAAATGACTGATTAACCCGATAAATCACAATTGCAAATAAGCAAATGAACAGAGCTGTACAGCTTCCCGCAGTAATTCAGTTGAGTTATTTTTAGAATGTTCAATGTTTTGTGGAAATTTCGAAAACATCATTTTGTCGGTAATATTTTGAGTACGCTCACGAATACGTCAAGTGAAGCTTAAAGGAGTTACGGTTTGACGATTTTGCCATTTAGGGAACGAGTTAAGATATCGACGATTTATTTTTATAAGTACATTATTGAAAATATGTAAGAGAATATGGAAAAATGTTTTGACTTAGCGTTTTCCGTATAGACGTAAAACTTTGCTTCTTCGTTAACAAGATAACGACTAATTTGATTTTAAATTTTAATAAAAAAGTAAATCTTAAGAAAATAACAAAAAAGAGTGTACGTAAGTACTGCAGCTTTACTTTCACCCATTTCAATGTGACAATTCGTAAAATAAACAAGGAGAAAGTAAAGCTTTCTAAGGACATCTGAACTATCATTATTTATTCAAAAAATATCTTCGTTCACTACGTGCTTGGGAAAAAAATGAAGCATGATACGCGATGATATGCAAACATTCCGGCAGGGTACACACGTGTGCAGATCAACTAAATGTTGGCCGAACATGACCTGGAAATATAGTTAGGCTGAGAACACACGATTCAATCGGATACGGGATACTATGGCTTCCGAAGAATGCAGGTTTCAATAAAAAAAATTGAAGATCGCAAACAACAACCCATTCATAAAGACGCGTAATATAAGTGAGCACAGCTAAAAACCGAACAGTAACAGCTTTACAAATAAACGGGTTATAGTAAACTTAGGAATAAACTGGATATAAGCAAATATTAGTACAAATTTTGCTTATATGGTACTCAGTTTATTCCTAAGTTTAACTATAACGCGTTTATTTGTAATGCTGTTAGTGTTTAGTACTAGGTAATCTTATTTCTTCGTAACTCCTAAAACCCGACGGATAATATCAGATACTTCACAGCCGTTCCTAAAATGAAAGAGCTCAACTGTGCATGAAACAATATTCATAAAAACCTTCTAAATTTACTGTTTGTAACGCAAAAGCTTCCAAGTGAGAATAAAATGAAAGGCAAATCTCTCTGACGGCACGTACGATGAAAGCAGAGATTACGAAATTGAACATTTTATGACGAAGGATGTAACGATTCCAATTCAAATGGTACACGATTGGATATCGCTATTAAGAAGACGTCATGACGTCTCAATTCATTCATCTTTTACGCATCTTTTGCTATCGGATACATATTACATATACAAATATCAAGTACCAATGTAATGCAGCAACATATAAATGTAGAAATTTGAGGTTATATCTGAATTTCCATGGCCCTCTACAAGATTGATGTTTCTTACTAGTTTACTTAAACAAGTTGGGTAAAATAAGTGTTATTAAGCACTCTTTTTGGGTAGATCCATTCAAATTGTTCATATTTATCGATACAATTTGCCGTAATCTCCTTAAATAATTGGCAAACCTTAAAAGATATCCAGGATGAGATTGTTCAAAGATAAAACGAATTTTATACATTTAAAAGTGAATAACATTCTTTAATTGTTACCCTGGGTGTAATTTCATGGTTTCCGGAGCAAACTAAAATTGTCTTAATTACCATAAAATACAGTGCAAATTTAAACGTAGACCATCTTTTGAAGTAATACAATGAAGATACAAACAGATAATGTTCACCATGTTCCCGCTAATCGCGCTCCAAGGGAACATTCAAACTCTAATTGGTCTGCTAACGTTATTAAGATATTTTAAACCATAATTTCCTTTTTCATACTTTTTAGAATAGCATTTTCTACTTTTTAGTAAGCATCTGCTATTGTTTGTTTCATAAAACATTTTTTAAGGGATAAAGGCAGAAACACACAATCGTATTTTCATAACGTGGCTAATGAACGAGCGGCCACCTGAATTTACAAAAAAGGTGAAGCGACCATTGCCGTAGACGTCCACAATTGCAGATGCGTTGCCTACCCTTAATTGACGCAGGAAAGACGTACATAAAAAGGATATTTCCCCTTCTTATGCGTCTCCATCATCAAATCCACTTTTCCTTCCTATCGTATGTTGTGTCATAAGAGCTTTAGTTCAGTAAAGTAAGCAAATGTTGCAACTAATAAGAAATTAACTTTAATTTGTGTTTAAATGTCAAGTGAGCTATCTACAGTGTGTCGTTACGTTCGCTTGTATACTTTGAGCCGATGCGAGATCCCTGAGGAGCCATTCGATCAGTAATGCGGCTCGTTATCGTCGACAACTTAATGCCTCTCTCGTTTACACTCCTTGCACCTATCGTGTGTTACTGCATTAACCTAATTATACTAACACTGCTGTTTAACTGTCATGCATGAGTTAATCTTTTCACTCTCGTTTTTTTTCTTTGTATTACATCTCTGTATAGAGTCGAATATTTGGGTCTGTTTTACCTCACCTGTTCACCTCAAGATGGCAAAACCGCAAGGAAGATGACGATACGGCATTTATATGACAGTACCGAACACCTCACTTTAGTAGGCGCGTGCATAAAAGCTGGAATCCCACTCGGTCTCGTTCATTTTGTCCAAAATTTTAGAGATTAATGGCATTGATACTCTGCCCTATGTGTTGACCGGATTTAATTCTTATTTTTGGTTATTGTAAACGATGTTTTACTTATAATAGTATAGTAATCGGTATTCCATTTGACTTGTTTTGATTGTTTATTTCTCCCTATCACTGTCGTATTTACAAGAAATAAAAATAAAGGACTATAGTTTCAAAATAAATGGTACTTTAATAGAATTAAGATTAGAAAAAGAAAAAAGTACAGTTCCAAATTTAAACACAACATAGAACTCGAAGTTTAGAGAACATAGTAACATTTCCAGTAACACAAACGTATTTTCATAATCCACAAAAGGAGATACGGCTCGGCTCCGCAGATCCCCAGTTGAGGGAGCGATATAATCTGTCAGCAAAACGAACTTATCACGGAGAGAAAAAAAACGGCCGGGAACTTGTCTCTGGCAGGATCTTCGGCTTACACAAGTTTTCAATCCACAGTCCCGATTGATAACCAAGATAAGTTACGAAGCTTTATTATATCCACAGAATACTTTTCTCGTAGCATTTTATAACGAAGTACATTTATTGATGAAGCTTTTTATCATATTTATACTTTTCTAAACTGTTCAAATGCAAGATTATAAAATCAAACCTAAACCCACGTTTATTTCAAAGGTGCAGACTGATCTCAGACCCATCAGGGGCCCTTCTTTAGGGTTAATGAATTAAATAGCTATATTAGATTGTAGCTACTTAGAGCCGTAATTTTTTATTGATATTTTATTTATAATTTCTCACGAAAGTTTTAATAATTTACTCCATACTCTGAATCAACAAATATTATGGATTATAAGCCTAGTTTTTGACCTTAAGATTGTATCTACGAAAACATAAGTTGGATACCAAACACGCCTTTTTACTTTGATTGATTCATCTCAAACATTAATAGATACTAAAGTTGGATTTCATTATTACAAAGTCAAATTAATTCATTGTATAGCTAAGTATAACTAGCTGCAACATGGTACAAATTGTATCGGATATAGTTACGCAGCTTCCGCACAATGCATGTGGACTACGGCCGGATATTAACTTAACCGCCTTTCTAGGTCGAGGAAATAGGCGAAGTGA